GACCTCTTTACAGAACACCAACAATTATAAACATTTCATATCAGATTTGTTTTTACACTAAAAGTAAAATACTAAAAGCAAAATTCCAAGCACTGGCACAACAAAGGGCTCAAAGCGATAAAATAGAAGATCTCCTTTGGCCTTTACATCGCCGCACATCGGTGAGTTGTCAAGTGTCACGCACTCTGATACCTAGACTTTGTCACAAAATTAACATAGATATTTGGCCAACAGTTGTCATTTCTTGAATAGAAATGAAGAAAGAATGAGATCATAAGTTTTTTTTTGTAAATAATAAGCTTTTATTTTATGTAGACGGTACGGAAAGTAAATGTTGCCGAGTCCTAGTTCTGTCATTTAGTCTGTTTTATGTTTTGCGTGCAATACACCATCATAAACCTTATTTTTAAAGGAATGTATTAAAATTTCAAACAATACAGAACCTACTAGCTCTGTTCAATCATTATTGATGATTAATAAAACTAGCATAGATGCATAGATGTATGTTTATATTTAAATTGATAAGTAAGTACAAATATCGTGACTGTCAGATGAACCACAGCGGTTTCAATATTAAGATATACTCGTAATCTTCTCTTGATTCTTGTTTCGTAATATCCATCTGCAATTATTTGGCGAGTTTTCTTTGTATAAGTAGGTACAGAGATAGTTAGGGAACAAAAAGCTAGATAAGTTCACATTAACCATGTACCAGATGTCCCTTGTAACATGGTAATTTCAAGTTTGTTTCCTCTTTTATTAACGATGAGTGTAGGGGAACTACATTCCCGTTTACGTGATCTGATTTTAGATGTTTTTGTTGCAACCAGCAGCCAGGTCATGATCACGATGAACTTTAGAAAAAATCAATGTATCTAAATTTTGCACAAATAGCGTACTGTTTTAAGCGGTCACCTCGTCGCCTCCTACTGCGGTAAGTGATACGGGTTCAATCCTCGCATGGGATGACACTTTGTATGATCCACAAATTATTGTTCTGAATCCAGGTGTTCTCTGGGCCCGTTTCAACTGTCCGTACAAAAAAATGAATGTTTGTAAAGTTCCCCGCAACACAGGATATGTTCCTAGTGCGGGAGTTGTTATTTAAAAACAAAAAAAAAATGCATGTTAGAAACAGCTGTTATGACTTAATGCGTATATCTATATGCAGTTAAGTATCTGGACTGTTCTACTCATACATACCGATAACTCATTTATAGATATCCTAACTTTGAAGTAAAGTCAAGGCAATTCTTTTAAAATGAGTATTTATTCTTCAAGAGTGACAGTTTTTTAACACGCTTTTACTTATGTTTCTGAGCTTATTCTTTGAGTCCCAGATAATCAAGAACATCTTTAAACAAGATTTTTTTCTTTCCTTTCATAATGTTGAGCAAGTAAAGTGACATTATGTTCGTTTCAAGGCGACGAGTAAAGTTTATGAAACAATCCTGCTTAAATAAGTAGAGAGTTAGGATTTTGTTTCAAGATAACGTTACTTGTCTTTTGGAAAAGCGTAGTGAACTTAATATTATATACCGCGTAACATATAATATAGAGAACTGAACCAACCACCATCCTTACCCACCCATAATGCGGTCTGTTATGAACACTCGTCAGTCGGCTGACGACGACGTCTCATTAGCTTTGCGTGACGGTATCTCAACGATAAGAGACCAACCCTTTTTTTCAGACCATTTATGACAATTGCCCACAAAAGATATTAGAAGATCCATAATAGATCTATGCATTCGTTGGCGCTTAGAAACCAGCGTGTTTTATAAAGTTGTTTTTGTCTGTCAATTTGACTCTTGTAGTTGCAATACAATAGATACACGCGCAGTTAAGGTTACCTTTCAAATATCATTATGTATGTTGTATCACAAACACGTCGCGAGGATTATGTACTACTGTTATGTTCAAAGCATGGGATGGCTCTACTATACTTATGTATTAAGTATGTGAATTGTAAAAGTAGATATTTTGCCATTCATATTATATATATATATATATATATATATATATATATATATATATCACACACATTCACACACGGCCGTCTAATCCCAAACTAGGCAGAGCCTGTACTATGGTAACCAGACCGCTGATAAACATACTTATATATTTCTAAATACATACATATTATAGATAAATTACACCCAGACACAGAAGAAATGACCGTGCTCATCACACAATTATTTGTCCTGGGTGGGAATCGAACCCACGACCTCCGGTTTAGCAGTCAGGGTCACTAACCACTAGACCAACAGGCCCGTCGAGTCGTATTTTTAACCGTTTTCTTATATAGCGTAGGCTTATAATGTTAGTTCATATTTAGAAACTTTCTGGTGGTTTTGAGTGTTTCCTAATATCAGTTAGGCTACACGATGGCTGGGGCTCGTATGCCGTATGGACAGGCCGACCTAAAACTATGGTCCTTTCTTCAAAAGGCCTACCCAGACCCTACACTGTACTCGCACTGTTTTTTTTAACATTGTTTACGGACTAAAAAAATGACACCTCTGTGGTTTGTTTCGGCGTTTCTTCCCAGAGTGAGTCTTAGGAAATGCCGGCTCCATCTAGCTGTAAAGTCCGACTTGTAAAATATCTGAACAATATTTACTTACAGAAATAAATATCATTTAAATATATCCATTCTTATTATATTTTTCTACAAAAAATGCCCTCAGTTTCAGTTTTGTGCTGTTTTGTGTTACTACTACTTTGATGTCTCCGTCTTCGTTACTGTGTTAAAAATACGACATATGGCTGTGACCACAAATAAAAGACTTCGTTTTTAAAAACAACGTCTACAACAGAGACCATTAATAGCACATTATATCTTCGAACTTTAGAGAGCAATCAGACACATGTCGATGTATTGTAAATCGAACGTTTACCTAACACAAACAAAAGAATAATTCGCTCGGCCTATAAACGTGTACGAACTAAACCGGAGAACTGTGACATAATCGACACGGGGTAGACGGAGGGTTAGATAAACGTTACTGTGGGGTGAGACTATCTGGACGCCCAATTAAGCTAGAACACTTCTTTCAGTAGACATGATACATCGACTTTTAATGTAAAATGAATAATAGTCGAATTGTATTTGCATATTGCCATAAACTTATTCAGTTTCTGTTCGAATACCACATCACACTATTAAATTTATCTGACAAGTTGTAAAAAGGCCTTATTTGCTGATAATGTTGTACGCATAAATTATAATGTCAAATATCTTTGATGATTAATTCCTTAACATTAAAAATAAAAAAGATCATCAGCTGATCTTCAAACGACTGAACAGATGAAGTCACCTTTGTGAAAACAAACTAAATCAAAATCTGGTTACCAATTGATTCTGATACCAATTGATGATTGAATTGATGATGATGATTGATATTTTTTTATCAAATGTAAAGGATTTTTGATGCTACAATTACAGCCATAAATCGTGTTAAAATTAATTAACAATGTTCTCGTAGGTTTAAGAAGTTTGTCGCCCCGCACTAAACTCCACATTACTATTTACTCAAAGTTTTATAAATCTAAATATTATCACCTTAGGATACTTAAGTGCTAAGTAATTAAGTAAAACACAGTTTATGTTCAAAATGTTTATTATTATAATTATAATGGAAGTCAGGAGAACAGATGTGAAATGTTATTTTTACAGTTATTCACCGCCTCTCGTCGTTGTACCTACACAACAACTAAGATCATTCACTTTGTATCTACTAGAAATTAACTGTCTTTTATAAATACGAGTACACCAATTTTTTTGAAAATATTCACAACCTCCTAAATATTTGATAGGAAGGTTAACGAACCTGGTAGGGTTAGCAACGATACTTAATTTAATTTAAGGAATCACACATATAACAATTTGTATAATTTTTATCACACAGTCAATAGTAACGTTGTCCAATTCTACCGTACACTCTCCATTTACAAACTTCATTAAAGTGCTCACCTGTACTTATGACGCTTACGAGCATCGTAATACATTACATTATAAATATTGACATTTTCCTTTTATTATTGCGTCAGCAATTGGTCGAGGAAGAGCATTTCTATTCAGTCTGAAGCACCGACTGGTCCAGTACAGTCCAGTCACGTAAGCGGTCCCAACGCAACTGGTTCTCCGACTGTACTTCCATAGGTATTTTAAAGCGATCAGTGGTCGTCTTTACCAAAAATATTTAATTGAAATATGGGATCAAATCTTTTGTTGGTGCAACAGGACAATGACAAATAGGAAAATAATGTTTAGCTCGCGAACGTTTCCTTTAAACTTTAACATGTACACCTAACATTAAGTGAGAGGCGGTGTAATACAATTTACGTCTAGTAAATGAACCAAGTAAGAGGTATCGTCGTGTAGAACAAGTCGACTATGTACAGTATGTGTGAGCACTGATTATCTGTGTGTGGACCAATGCAACAGCGACATGTTTGTACAGGTGCGCCACGTACGCCATCTGATGGCGCGCGTCGCGAACTACTCTTAGTAACGAACGATAAAATTTAACGAGTCGATTCTGGCACTAAAGTTCATTCCAAATATAACACTGGATGTATTTGTCTCATGTTTGTCTGATATTATATATCGGCGGTACACGTCTGATGCCTCCAAGGAACAAAGTTTAATGCCAGCACACTTAACCATCATAAAATTATTTACACTATAGACACGTATCGAATGCGTAATTCTGTTTCCGTCTAAGAAGACGCACGTGTCGCTGAGCAATCAAGTATTCGTTTAACTACAACCACAATGTTACGATTGCCGAAGAACTTACGTCAAAAACGATTTATTCGTTAGTTAAATCGGAGGTAGACCAAGATTGAGTACAGCTATTTGTAAGTTTTCTTCGACAATAGTAATAGTTGTGTTCCAATCATTTGGAAACATCACCTGAAGAAATATAAGTCCGATAATATTTACACAGTAAACTTAATTATTATCTAACGTGAGCATTCTGTAGAGTAGAGGCTCACGTGCACGCGGCTAGCAGCGCCACACAATACGCGAGCAACACCAAACCGCCTGCGCATGCGCCGCGTAGCGCTCCGCTTGTGTTGCGGCTCAGCGTAGCTGCCATCTTGTCGCCTGTAACGCAACATTAATTAGTGGTGCATCTGCAAATAATATCAGTGATATGTAATCTTTTAAGAAAACGATATTAAAGCTTGTTAGTCTATGCTAATATTATAAAGCCGAAGTGTTTGTTTATTTGTTAATCTCAGGAACAACTGGTTTCATTTTCATCATGATACGACTAATAGGGGCCCAGCATCAATGACTAAGATTGCAAAAAAGGGGAAAATGTATTTCTTCTAAGAATATAGAGCAGACAAAGTTGCGCTTGTCAGCAATGTTGTGAAGTCTAAACTCATATTATACTGACTGCCTTCAGAGACATAGACGTAAATGTGAGCGGGCTCGGTGTTGGCGGCGGCACAGGTGTAGTTCCCGGAGTGCTGCGGGCCAGCCGCGCGGATGGCCAGCGCCGACTGGGTCTTGGGACCCGGCTCCGTGACCACGCTGACGCCGCGCGACGCGTCGTAGTTTATCATCCGCGCATTGTGGTACCAGAACACGTATTGTGGAGGTACAGGACTCTATTAAAAAATAAGCTCATTAATATCCCTCTTAAAGTATGGCCAGAAAATATGTTCATGTTACATCCTCGTGTTTATTCATTGTGTTTGAGTCAATTTATAAATATTAATTTCCATTTTCCAGAAACTTCATGAACATGTATCAATATATACAATGTTCAAGATTTGTGACGTGCGTTTTCAGAATACCTTTTCTATAATGCAGACGAGATTAATTGTAGACCCCGCGTCAACGTGATGCTCGTCCGCGCCGAGGATGAACGCCTCCGGGACTGCGATGTGTAGGTGCACCAGCCGCGACAGCGTTCCCGACCCCGTCGATACCTGTACGTGTATATGTCTTAACTACATGGCGTCATTTCCTAATGTTTGCCTTACGTTATAAAAGAAACAATTACATACCTGACACTCATATGTACCGTTGTCTCGTTTTTGGACATATTTTATTTGCAGGATCCAGTCGTCTGATCCCTCGCTATGAAGCACCTGCATACAACATACACGCCTAAGTATTAAGTGGAAGAATGGTTATCTTCGTATAGTTCTCTATAAAGGGCTTCTCCTGTTCCACCTTTTCTCTTGTTCCACCACTACCCTCGATACAGCATGTTTTAGTGTCTACAGCGGACTTGTAACGTAATAGTGGGACAATAAAGAACACATTGCGACAGCAGTCAATGTTCTTTAAAATAAAAATATCTACCTAAGATTTTTTATGTTATAGGATACGATACGATGATTATACCATATATTTTGTATTTAGTGACATGAATACTTTATTATTTTTTGAACGGGTTCAAAATAATTGTTTACCCCAACAACAACAGCTATTGTACCTGGAAGCGCTCATCGTTGGTGTACATCAGCACCCCGGAGCTGATGATGTGCCAATCTCGGCGCCGTACCCATGACACCTGTGCATGACAACGAAGTGTTATATTATATTAAAGGTACTAGTAATTCAGATACACTAGAAGTGTATAGATATAGATGGTAGTATAGATAGTAACGTTAAAGTACATACGCCGCGTTCACCGAGGTTCCGCACGGGACAGTGGAGGAACGCGACGGCACCGAGCTGCACGAGCACGTCCTCGTGCGTGTTGTTGATCGTAGGTTCACGGTGCAAGGCGTCCAGCGAGCCGTACCACAGCTCCCGCCACGGTCCCATCTCGCCTTCCGCCAGCTCCAACTCAGCGGCCTCGATGGCTGCGGCGTCCAGCGCGTGCATCGGGTGCACCGTATGCACTCTCGGGGGCTGCGATGGTGGTACTTCCACCGCTGTAGCATCGCGGTGTGAGCGCCGCAGCCTTGCTGCTGGCAACAGCACATGCCGCATCAAAATGAATATCGACGTTACGAGAACTGAGCTGAGCTGAATGACACCACGTATAGGGAACCAGTTGTATGTAGAACAAGAAGGTTGATAGAGTACTCACGAAGTCCATCGGGGGGCGCAGCGGGCGAGGGCCCCGCCGCGGCGGAGAGCGCGGCGAGCAGCGCCACGGTGAGCGCGGGCGGCGCCATGCCACGCCGCGCGGCGCACTGCACACCGCACCGATGTCGCCCCCCTACATCACGTGTTGCACCCTGAGAATAGTTACTGACATGTTTGATTTCAGACTGTAAATACGCATAGTCAATCATTATAACTAAAGTTAATATTAGTTTGAAAATTTGCTTTAATTGTATATTTATCTCTTGACTGCGGATAATTTAATTGTATTACAGATTTTAGACAGATTATTACTTGAACATGTTAGGAATTTGTCACTTGCCGAGTTTGCCTTTTCGAGTAAATGACTCGTAGCATCCTTTGCCGGCCGAGATACAACACCGGACGGATGTAATAAAAAAAGGTTGGCAATAAAATGTGTGACATTTCTGGTGATATGCAACAAACAGAGGCTGTAAGGCGTCGAATGTGACAACAAACAACAATAATATTATAATTTAAGTACATAGGTTCATTAAATTGCATTTGTAACGTACGTAACTTATAAAATATACATACTCGTATGTATTTTATGCAGTGTATGATCTATCATTAATGCCGATGTCCAGTGTATTCAACATACAAAGGTAGTGCTCGTGTACAGTGTACGAGTACGTAGATTGTTGAGGTTAGACATTGGCCTGGGAACGACGTGCAACGTCTACAATCTCAATAATTGTTAAAATATAAAGCGTGGGTTCATCTTAGATATTACATGAAGTATACTTGAGAAGGTGATTATTATTAAATTGATAATTTTCCTATTTAACTGCGTTGTAAATTTGTGGCTATTGTTGTTGAGAGAAACAAAACCAACGACACGGCTCAAAACACTAAAATGACTTCTTTAAACATAACATTGTGCCTTTTATATAAAAGTATTCAAGTAGATAAAGATATATGCGCCGAATATTTTCATTTGTTCTACTTTCTTGAACAAAGGGCTATTCATAAAGTACGTCAAGCTAAATGATACCATTTTGGGGCCCTCTGCCGCCTTTGACTCGCTTTGTTATATTATATAATCAATGTACGACGCTACAAATCTCATATAATTTATACATATTTATGTATTAAGTAGAATATTACTATTTAATTAAGTAAACTAAGAATTTTGGGCGTGAGTAAAATCACAATAAACCAATCGCAACATTTACAGTGTGATATGGTTAAATTAAATTCCCTGTGGTGACGGATTTAGAATACGGAGTGTAACTATATTCATCCCGTGGGTGTCGTAACAGTATTGCAAAGAGAAGGAAAACTACAAACCCTATCTATACCAACCCGTCTGGCCAGCGTCGTATAGTAGGCCAAAACCTTCTTTTTAAGTGAACTATTAAAGGCCGTTGATGATGGTTAAAATTCTAGTTTATGTAAAATAGCCTATGTATGTATTATGACAGATTCATGTTTTTATATAAATATGTATTGTTTTTATTTAGTCGTCAAGTACATGTGTCTAAATTAACAAACCTTGGCTTAACGTTTGCTAATTAAATATTGTTTTCATTCATTAAACGAACTCATGAGTTATATAATACCTAATAAATAAAATGGTGGTTAATGAAAACAACAAATAATAAAATGACAATTATGACACGTTGCTATGAGCATTTCACGTGATAATAAATTATATGAGTAGGAAACCTACCTATTGTATTAGGGTTTTCAATTTATATTTTTATTGCAATCTTTATTGTTTAATACTAATTTATGTGTGATATTTTTTTGTGTTTATTGAATCCAAACAGCAATACAGATAACAATAATTCAATAACAAATAATTTGTTATTGAATTATTGTTATTTTTACAGGTAATAAGTAGACTAATATTTTATTATAAAGTTATATCTATCCACCCTGCGACATTTATTTGCCTCAAGTACCTTATGAACATTAATTCACCACGGCCATTCCCCATCATCAATATCATTTTCCCACAAATGGACACAAGCCACATGAGATGTATGGGGGTCGGTATGTAAATAAAAAGAACTGTTCTCGTTAACTTCCACAATTATAATGTCATAGAATTTAAAGAAATATATAGTGCTAAGAAGCAATTCCAAAGCGCAACATAAGCAATAACTTGAGCCAGTTATTGCTTATATATACTTACTGAACAATATAAAGGAGCTTATATACACTACACGCACTACTTCACGTTGCGCGCAGTCAGTGATTTACACCGATAAACACTATTAGATTTACTATTAAAACAGTTCATTTTCGGTCACTATTCCATTAGGTTATTGAGTATAATAGATTGAGAATAATATAAAGTAATATAAGATGAAATGACCATTTGCCCATACTATTTTAGATTTAGTTAAGTTAAAATAAACAAATTTTGCTTAAGTTTATCTTTTATTTTTCCTGCACGGTAACCATAACCCGAGCAGAATTTGTGAAATAAATCAGTGTATGTTTCTTTAATACTGTGACCTTTACAATTTTCAGTTAAAAAAAAATAAAGTTAAAGTTGCAGTTAAATCCGCCTAGCCGCTACCTAACGGAATTCTCCTTTATATATTTACTATACTATATATATCTTTATAAACTTTAGAAGGGTTTAAAAAAATCCTGACATTGCACGAGGCGGACTTAAGGCCAAATGACATTATCTACCTGTCAACCTTTGAAAGATTCAGCGTGGGACAAGGGTTATGGTTGACTGGGACACTAGGTTAGCCAACTCGTGTGGAAACTACGAAGACACAGACATACACCTCAAACTTGTGTGACTGATAACTCAAAAGAAGGAATGTTTTTAACATTTAGGAGGGTAACAAACATTCTGAACCTTATGTATGTAATAAAAAAAAAACGTTAGTATGTAAGTATTTTCCTGTCGTACGTGGTATAAAAACTCAAAGTTTATTGCGATTTAAACGCGCTTAATATTTGTACTGCAATAAAGTACATTAAAATTAGCGAGTTTTCATTGTGTGATGCAAGATTCGTATATTATTTACTAAGTGGTTCAGTGTATCGCCGTTAGATTGTACTGAAGAATGATTATGTATTTTAAAGTCAACAATTCGTGCCTTTAATATGATTCGCAAATTTTTTTTTAAATGATATGTTTATTGAAAAATTAATAGTTTTAAATATACATGCAAGTGTTATTGATAATAGTCGACCTAATAATACCAATGGGATAAAATAGTAGTTCTACGAGAACACTAATTATGTATAAGAATTGCAATCTATGCTCTCACTAAGTCGAGCAAACGATTAAACAAAGACACTGCTACTCGGCCCCCTGTTGTGTCCTTGCAGGTACAGCTAGAAGCCTGGGCTTCGAGTGGCCATATTTCAATATTCTATTTGAAGTTACTATTAACTGACAAAATTCTGTTAGTTAACTAATTAGGAAAACACTAGATCTTAGTTTTTGCGGTAAAATTACGGGATTACGAGACTTGTATGTTTCCATGTCATGTTTCTAATGTGATTCCTGTACAAGGGAGCTCATCGTCGTAGGTAGACGCAAGTTTGCTACGCTATGTGTGTAAAAGACTTGTGTGTGCAAGCTAAGCAAGTGATTGATGACCGCTTAGGCGCCGAGATTGATGTGTTTTTTACGAGCGCAGTGGGCCTCCCGCCTACCTGTCGCTTTCGCATCCTAACCACTCGTAAGGGACCGCAAATTTACATCGAAATAAATAACATGCACGCATACAAAGGAATATATATGTAGGTATTAAAAGAGTATGAAACATTTTCCACAGGGTTAGCAACGCGCAAGTGACATACCTACTCAGCGCATTGTCATAGAATTATAGAATAGTTATTTATTAATGTGCTAGTTGGTCTCGGCCCCGTGATCGCCACACGTTTTGTAAAGATTACAGTTTGTTGCTCGTGTGCCTAACCAACACTGTCCCCTATTTTGAACTCAAAAAACTGAGGTCAAGTTAATTTGTATATTATTTGTTTTTTGTACGACCACATATAATTAACTACTGAGTGGTCCAATATGATCCCGGTTAATTCTAAAACTAAGCACAAAACTTAGGAAATAGGCACTGTGCTCCAGCTCTTAATTGATTTCCTTGAAACATGGTACACATTTGTACCAGGAGTTCTAATGTTCTAATGACCCTTTTACATGACGCTCTTCTGTGGTTGATCTGATACCGTAGATGGAAGTCGAGAAAACTTATCAGCGGCTATAAAAATAGTAACCTAGTTAAATGAGTTTTTTTTTTCTAAAAAGGTGATACCTTATTAATTTTTATTAATAGTTAAATTATTAATAGTTTTTGGCACAAAAATATTTCAATACAAAGCTAAACCGAGGCGCGACGAAAGAAAAAAGGGGAACAAGGTCGCCTCGGCCCTCTGAAACACTATTTTTTTATAAAGTGAAAAGAAATAATAGAAAACATACTATAATAGAAGTATACGTTGCAGTAACCCTGATGATGTTCGGTTAGCTGGGATTATGTAGCTCATTGCTCCTGGATTATAATAATGACATAATTTTAGTTTATTAGATAAGGCCAAATTCGATCTAAGTGGCGTGCAATGGGAGAGGCCTATGTCCACGCATGGCATGCTTGGAACCGAATACATAACCAAACAAATAAATAACTTAAGTACTTATAATATCAGTTACGATATAACTTCTAACATCATCTTTGTATCTCTGTTCTCATTTATTGCGCTTATAAAAAGAATGAAGTATAGTTTGATGGGCCGCCATTTGTCAACGTCGAGAAGATAATAAAGTTAGGACGACTGATCTTTTCAACTTTGATAGAGATACATATATCTCGGGGTTTGGAAGCGATTGAGTTCGGCGATATTTGTGTCCAATCTAGTTTTGTATTTAGATCATGTTCCAAAGAAAATGTTTTTATAAGTTCTATATAATTTAAATTTTTAGTAACAGATATGAGTTTTAGAATTTTTGGAAGCCAATCGTTTTTGTTATGAACATTTTGCTATGCTCGATGTTTTCCATTCACTAATCTTTAGAAGGCCTTGGCTTATTTTGAAACTGTTAAATTGTTAAATAACGTTTAGTCTCTGCTTGCATCAAACTTAGCTTAAGTGGCACTATTCTACGTGAGCATCGGTGAAG